TTAATAACTAATCGTAATAAAAACGTTTTTTTAATACAAAATTATTATTACAAAATGATATTGCAACAATATTATTAAATAATAATTAATTTTTACCAAAAAAAAATTATTATTAAATAACATTTCATAATTTAAACAATAAGTGAGGTTAAGTACACGCCAATCTGTCAAAACAATAACCGTTCTAACCTCACTTTACAATTTTTTTCTTAATTTTATTCATTAATCCAATTAAAATTACTTTATTGTTTTAGGTAGAAGCGTAGTGATGGCTCTACACACCGTTTTTTCTTTATTAAACACGATGTACATCCCATACGCAATTTTTTACTACGTACAAAGAACCTACATGATTTGCGGAGTCCCAGATATTTGCAACACTTTAACAATATCGAATTACATGACCACGGAGATTTACGTGATTTTAATCGGGATAATCGTTCAAATCCCGATTTATTCAATCATTTTGGTCGTAATTGACGTTTTAAAAAGCGGGGGTCACATCTCGGAAGTGTTTAAATGCTTCTTCGTAAGTTAAAGAATCAATTTTTAGCTCAAATTTAATTCTAATCTTTTAGATAACCCCTGATGAGTTAACAAACACCGATGACGTAGACGTTGGGTTGAACGAAGACGCCGATGTGAAATCGGAACGAACCAAAGTCTCGAATATTTTAAATACGGTGGTTGCGGAGCCTCCGGTAGTTCTTGTACATGTAATGGGCGTTTTAATTTGGTCATTATTAAAGGATAATTGAGTTTTTTTTTAGAATTTGCATAAGGAATACAAAAGAAATTATTCGTGTCGAAAACCCGACGATGAAAATAACCTAATAAAAACGGCGATTCAAAGTTTATCTTTAGCGGTGGACGCCGGGGAAGTTTTTGGGTTATTGGGGCATAACGGGGCGGGGAAAACGACCACGATGAAGATTATAATCGCGGAGGAAGTCCCTACGAGAGGCCGCGTTCAAATAGACGGCCACAACATCCAACAAAACACCGATAGGATATTTAAACTCCTAGGATATTGCCCCCAACACGACGCTTTATGGAAAAATATAACCGTTAAGGAACACTTGGAATGTTACGCTTCGATTCGGGGGGTTCCAAAAAAATTTATCCCAACGTAAATAACCTTAAAACTAAATTATTTTAAATCTAATTGATTTATTTTAAAACAGGATGATCGATTTGTATCTTACCGGCTTGCAAATTAACGAGCACGCCGATAAAAAGGCGCACCAATGTTCTGGGGGAACTAAACGGAAGTTGTCTTATGCCATGGCTATGATCGGAAACCCCAAAGTCGTTTTATTGGATGAACCAAGCACCGGGATGGATCCGAAAAGTAAGCGGTTTTTATGGGATACGATTTTGGCGAGTTTTCAAGTAAGTAAACTATGTAAAATAATAAGTGAGGTTATGTATCGACCTGTCAATCTAAAAATGAGCGTTTTTAACTTTAATTTATTAATATTTATATTTTAAAAGTGTTAAAACGCTTTGAATTAAATTTTAATCAAATTAGCTCCAATTTTGATACATTTTCCTCAAAAAATTGCTTTTGTGTCTACATTCTCCCCCATTTTAAGGTTATGTTGTTTTTTCCCAATATTATTACTTATTAAAGACTTTGTTATGGTTCTAATTTCACTAAAGACGTTAATTATACACTTTAACACAATTTATTATTAACTTTGTTGCTAATCATGCTTCAACAAACTATTTTTAATTAATTTATTATAAAAAAAGCGTCATAACCTCGTCAAAGTTTATTTTGACAGAACTACCAACATAACTTTTAAGTAATGCTACCAACATAAATTTACTCGATATTTATTTAACCTCAAAATTAATTTTGAACGTTTTTAACCTTAATTTATTAATATTTAAGTTTTAAAAGTATTAAAATGCATTAAATTAACTCATTTTTATCAAAAAATAAGTCTCAAGTATATG